TCTCGAAGCATGAGCCAAGGAATATCTCTCTTGGCCTGCCTAGAAGAACAGCGTAAAGCAAAACGAGCTCGGTTCCCTACAGCACGCGTTGAGGGCCCAGACATTGACGAGGATTCCAACTCACCTGTCTACGATGCGTACCTACAAACACAAGGAGCCGAAGGCATAATGACACTCACCAACTTCTCGCCGCCAGAGTTTAACCTTCTCTGGGCAGACGTCCGCCAGCACATCTTCAGGCACTGGAATGTGGGCTCCGGTCGCAAGTGTGCAGTGTCCGCTCGAGACCTATTGCTCATGATGCTTGCATCACTCAAACACTGCGGTACCTGGGATATCGTTGCTCAAAAATTTCGCACAACTGTGGTAACATTCGAAAAGCGCGTCATGAGCTTCATAGAGGTCATGCATCCCTACCTTCTGCGCAAGTATGTTCATGGAATGGCATCCAAGTGGTCGATGCATGAGCTTGCCGCCAACGGAACAAGGTTCGAGCACTACCCATATGCACGCTACGCCACCGATGTTACTTTCCAGCAGACAAACGTACATGTCGGTTCGTATGCCGAAAAGAAGCTGTACTACAGCGGCAAGCATCATCTCTACGGGCACAAAGTTGAGGTGTCAGTCCTTCCAAATGGCTTGGCGATCAATTGCACGTCGTACCACAAGGAAAGTGTCTCGGACAAGGCGATCTTTGACGACAATCTCGACTTTCACCGCACCAACCTCACCAAGCACCCAAGCGAAATGGAGATGACGGACACTGGCGGTCGTGTCGAGCAATGGGCAGTGCTGGTGGACAAAGGCTACCAAGGAATTCAGCATGAAGTTCGAGCTGTGCTGCCAACAAAGAAGCCATCGGGTGGTTTTCTCACCTTTGACCAACAGTGCACCAACGACCGCATTGCGGCCGACCGCGTCATCGTGGAGAACTACTTTGGTCGACTGAAGACTCTTTGGGCCGTCTGTGGTGATGCCTACCGATGGAATCGTAAGAACTACGACGTTCTCTTTCAGACCTGCGTGGCAATCACTAATGTGCACATTCGATTCAATCCGCTTCGCGCTGAGGATGGCGATGCGAATATCCAGTACGTGAATCGCCTGAACGCGATTGGTTTGAAGAAGATCAAGGATAAGAAGAAGGCGCAACAAAAGTACCGCGAGAAGCGCAAGACAAGGTTGACTTTGTTACTTGCGTCGGAGTCGGCTATCAGTGGGAATGAATGTGACAGCGAAACGGAAATTGGATCTGACAGCGAGAATGATGGTGGCACATCCCAACTATTCTAAATAGGAGTGTGTACTTATTTTGTAAAATTGAATAGTGGTTTTATCAAAACGTGTTGAGTTTTTACGTCTTAAAGGTTAATTTTTTGGACTTCTTTTGTTAATGATTCCTTAGATAGTCATTCAATTGGGGTCATTTAGGTCGATCAGGTATTTAGACGTTTAGAATTCCTTCAATCTCTATCGGAGAATAGGGACAGTCTGCTTCCTATACTGCATCACTTCGTAAGATGGTGCATACTTCTGGAATTGGTGCTTATAATTTCAGAGACATGGAAATATTCTGGAACACTAAATCCATCACACACAACTTCACCTCTGCAAATACATCGAGTCTTTGGACTGGAGGTCTATTGTAATATTAATAGTACTAGTACGTATTAATAAATGCATATTGAATTACAATGTATCTAGTCGCTTCCTACGACGAACCTCTTGGAGTAGACGACTTGGTAATCCAGAATATGCCACTTCAAACTGCTCGTACGATTGGTACTTCGTGAATGGCATTTCCAAGGTCAGTGTTCGAATCATGTCACTGTAGTGCTTCAAGGCACAAACTGATCCTGCACCAGGATCAGCTACAAACCACTGCTGCCACGCTTGCAGACCCGAACGAGCGGTAGGAATTGTCTTTTGAGAAATGAAACCATCCAACACAGCTGCTTCGTTGCTTTAGGGGGGACAACAGACTTACCACCACCACTTTGCTGCCCAAGTTCAACCACTCGATGAAGTCCGCCCACGCATTCATGGGGATGGTCAGCAAGCACCTCCACTCAAGCGAGCGAATCATCTTTATGTTTGTATACTACGAGTTCCGCAGCCATTTACTTCGCTTCTTCTTGGTCTTCATGTTGGTGAAGCCAGTAGCGGAAAACGATGGGGATGTCTTCATAGAGGGAGCGCATGGGCTCCCATGAGGCTTCGTCTTCATCGAGACCAAGCCAGTAGACGAGGGCTTGGAATTCGCCGGTTCTTTCGCGCCGAGCTTGGCCACAAGGAACCCTTCATTGCCACAGGCAATATGGTCGGCTATTTCTTCGGTTACATCGCAGCCGCCTTCGTAATACATCTTGAGTCGGCAGGCGTGGTGGTTGCACCAACTGCTGGGTCTACATGACATAGTCAGTCACGACCCGGACGAGCTTGCTTGGGCCACGCCAGTGCAGGGACAACTTGTTGCCTTGGCGGGACAATTGGCAATGAGGACAAAGTCGCCGATCGCAAACTTCTGTAACTGCTTATGGCTTGGCGGTCGCGGGCTTGGCGTCGCTTGTCGCAACCAATTCACGTAGCAGCTGTTCCATTGCTTCATGCAGCTCATCCATGTGCTTCTTGCGCGTGGAGGCTAGACAGTCGATGTCGCCAACTTCCTCGGTTACGGTATTGACTAACGCTGACAGGGATGTCGTCGCAGACAGGCCAGTAAAGGCGGGCCATGCCGCAAAGTCGGTCGCTCGGCATGTGATTCAATGCGGCTTGTACCAGGGCCAGGACAAGGTTCCAGTCGGTCGCGCGCAGCTTTAACTCGCTGGTATGCGTCTTGACGACGGGGAGGATCAGTCGGTTGACTACTTCAACAATTCCGTTCGCCTAGGAATAGTAGGACGTCAGGGGGAGAATGTAGCGATGTGAAAGGTAGGGTAACACCTTGCCACCACCTTTCCCGCACCTAGCTCCTAAGTACCTGGTTCATGACGCACCCTAGCTAATGTTTGCCTGGGAATGTGTCTCAAGGGCAAGTATGGCTTAGAATCGCTAGTCTAGTGAAGTTCCCCAATGTCGCAACCGCACTCGCATCCATTGTATACAAAAGTGCATATTAGTGTAGAAGTAGTGAAGTAGATTAAGAAGATTTCATAGTGATGAGGATTAAGGAGATCTTTGTAGATCTTCAGTTAATTCATTGTACATTTTGCCCTCAACTACACACACTTCCTCCCGCAGAGCCAATTCACTCAAAGTACAGCTCACAGACGTAAACACATAATTAAATATTGCATGACGCATTGTGAACTCAAATTCATGCAAGGTTCAGGTTTCTATTCTCCACTACTGTACAGTACAACCACAATGGCCTAAGGTAGCTCACGTTCATGGCGGATTACTAAAGTGCTGTGTGTGAGGCTGCCATCACAAATGAGCACAATGGCCGGTACATAGCAACTGCAGCCATCATAGCTAAGATTGATCTCGACAAGGGTATACCCAATGCAAGGGAACTACAGCAGTCAGGCATGGAGAGGCAGCGAGCCCACCATCGTGCTTCAGCCTTGTCGAGTGTCCAAGTACAATGCCCTTTGATTGGTTACATAAATTTTATTTATAGCCAATAATAAGTTACAAAGACTTCATTGTTCAATTTGCAGTCTCAGGCCCACAAGCACCGGCCACCACTTGCAGAGAAGGGCTCCTACCCTCGCAGATGTTGTAAAACATAATGCATTCAATCTACTACGTACGATATAGCTACGCTACACCAGATTTCGTGCCAAAACAGCGCAATAAGACCAGAACGATCACATTGATTTGGAGCTGCGTCGGCCTGTGGCGTACGATTAATTTCGGCCTACGCCACAAGCCGAAATTTTTTAGCCGAGGGCGACTGGTGGCTTGAGGCAAACTGTGCACGATTGAATCGTGGCCACCAGGCTTCAATTGC